AGCGGCCTCAGGGCCCAGATGAGGCCGCCGCGGTGCCGAGGTGGGTCTGGGCCCGCGGCCCTGGTAGCAGGTCGCCAGGGGGTGAGAGCCGCAGCGACAGCCGCAGCCCCACGGGGAAGCCCACGAAGGTGACGGCAGAGTAGAGGCTGTCCCGGGGCAGGGGCGGCCTGCGCCCTGGAGAGGCCCACCTGGCAGTCCGCTGGAGGCCGAGGTGCCGGAGGACCAGCCCGCTGCCCAGCAGCCCCGCGAGGCCCACGGCCAGGGTGAGGTGGAGGGACGCACTGCTGAAGGTCTTCCAGAGCCCCAGCATCCCGGCTGGCTCGGCGGCGGGCAGGGGTGCAGGCAGCGAGAATCGGAGGCGGTGGGGGGCGGGGCATCGCCCCAGATGGGGCTCCAGCCCAGGGGGGCCCCCCTTCCTGGCCCCATGCCTGACCCTTCAGGCCTCAGCCTCGGCAGTAAGCCGCGCCTAGTGCAGGGTACGCCGAGGTGATGCTGGCGGCGGGTCCGGGCCCTGCCCTCCTCCTGGCTAGGGGGGCTCCACGGAATGCACCTAAGACTTACAGGGCCCTGCACGGTGGCAGACGTCAGCAGTGGGCAGGACAGGTCTCTGCCGGCAAAGGGACCCTCGTGTGGCCCTCACATGGAGGCGCTTCCTGCCTCCTCCATCCGGGACTCTGCACCTGGCTTCCCACCAGGAGGGCCTGGACCCCACTCTTGCTAAGTCCCCCACCCTGGAGGCCCTGAGGGGTGGTGTGCATTGATGGCCCCATGGACACTGTCCTGCGCTGGCAAGGGGGGCAAGGAGGATGCGGTGGCGGGGACAGCAGGTGGCTGGGAGGGTGTGGGCAGGCTGCAGGAGCCCCCAGCCACCCCCGGGCGGAGGTTAGACCCCTGGCACTCCTGCTGTGGGGAGGTTGGGGAGGGGCTGGTCTGAAGCCTCACAGCGGGCGTGGGGACCGTGGAGATGGGGTGCAGGGCCCTGGGTCCTCTGGGGAGAAGCTAACGTGAGTGTTTGCCCCCAGCGGCGTTCAGGGAACCAGAGGCCGACAGTCCTGTCCTAGCCCAGGCCCGTGCCCTGCTGGGGACAGTCTCCAGGGGAGGGAGAATGGGTCCCAGGGACCTCTACTGGGGCAGTTGAGGGTCTCCCGAAGCCCCTCCCTTTCCTGTGCCCTCCCCCCAGGACCCACAGTCAGTGGTCCTTGTTCTCGGGCCAGAGACACAGCTGAGGGGCCGTCAAGACTCTGGCTCCAGGTTAGGGGGTGTGGGGTGGAGAGACCAATGGGGGGAGGACAGAGACAGATGGAGAGGGACAGAGACAGGTTGAAGGTGAAAGAGCCAGAGATGAAGAGGGAGACAGAGACAGGGGGACAGAGAGACAGAGACAGGGACCACCTGATACCCTTTGGGTTCCCCTCACACACCTTTGCTGGGCTGTGCCCCCACCCAGGGCACCCTGACCCCCTCCCCACTTACCCGGGTCCCATCTACCCTAAGGACCTGCTCTCCTCTCAGCTCGCTTCCTCCGCCTGCTCTGAGCATCCCCAGGTTGGCACCCCAAGCATCCTTCTCTCTGGTTGCCCTTGTTCCCTGTGGGGTGTCGCCTTTGTCCCCTTGAGCCTTGTCCCGTATTGGGACACATGGCGGCTCATCCTCAGGGCCAGCGAGCTGGGTCGGCCTTTGGTGTCCTGGGGTGAGTGCACTGACCCTCTCTTTTCTGGGCTGTGATGTCCCCAAGGTACACCGAGGGGGCTGATCAGACTTCGCTGCTCGGAGGTAAGCGGTGGGGAGGCCAGGCTGTGCTGGGGAGTGGGGGTGGGGGGCTCTGCCTGGAAGGATCTGGGGAGGATGGCGTGCTGGGATGGCCCCCATCCACACTCTCAGAGCAGGTACACCTGCCCATTCACCCACATGGGGACCCAAAGCGCCAGCCACGTCAGTCTGCTTCCCCAGTCCCATGTCCCAGTGCCCGCCCCCAACATCCTCGGGGAAGTGTCTCCTCACCTGGGCAGAGCAGGTGGGTGGGTGGAGGGGCACTGAGGCTTCTCACCTGCTGTTGGGAGCCTCTCTGAGATCTGCTGGAGCAGCTGCACTCACCACCCGCCCGGGCCCTAAATCCTCTCGTGTCCTCTGGGGCCCAGCTGGCTGGACCGAGGGTGTCTGGGCCAGTTCCCTGGAAACGGGAGGAGTGTGCTGCTGGTTCACAGGCATGAGCTCAGAGATGTCCAGACGGTGTGGGCTGGCCCGTGCCTTCCTCCTCAGCCCATCCTGCACACCAGTGCCCCCTACCCCCCCGCCTGGTGCCTGGAGGGGAGGAAGCGGCAGACTGGGGACCCCACGTCCAGCGGGGCTGGGCCACACCTTCTGGGTGGTTCCACGGAGTCCTTTGGTTTGTTGCAGAGATGTGTGGGAAGCAGGAGCTGTGGGCATGTCCTGACCCTTTCTGGATGTGTGACCGTGAAAGAAGGACCTAACAGCCCTGTGCCTCAGGTTCCCCTCTTCTTGGACTGGCCATTGGTGTACAGCTCAGTGCCTCGCTTGGGGCTGGGTCCACAGAGGTTGGTCCCCCTTCTCAAGGCCCCCCCTTCCCGTCCACATTCCGGCCTCAGACCCTGGGGTCCCAGCCATCAGCAGATTCTTTGGGGTTAAAATACTTTTCCAAATTTTGTTCTGCAGAGCCACGTGGCCTGAAACGTTCCTGATGAGGGATTTCCTTCTCCATGGACTGTATTCTGTAGTTGCTGGAGACTCACCGAGCTTACCCACTCAGTGTCAGAGATGATGTAGGAAACCTGCCTGTTTGTCCTAGGATTTCTCAAATGGCTCCGAGCTCATTTCCGTAACACAGGTGGCCTGCCTGAGCCCAGGCTAAGGTTGCCGACTCCCCAGCTCCCGGCAGTTCTGCACTTTGCCTAAAAATGTGAACCGTGTGTGCAACCTACAGGCCGGTGGCCGGGTGTCCTCTGCAGGGCATCCCAGCACCACACCCAAGCCACTGGCCAGCCTGCAAAAGGGCTCGGTGGGGAGGGTGTGTCTTAACGTGGGCATTCTTGTTACCTGGAATGGCGAGGCCAACACATCAGGGGACAATTGTCAGAGGAGGGGCAGGCCCCTGGGGACCACTGCCAGGAAGCCACTGGTTGGTCAGGAGGCAGAGGGAGGAGGACGTGTGGGCAGGAGCCTTTCCTGTGGTTTTAGTTGGACTTGGCAAGGCCAGGCGAGCAGGCTGAGGCCGGGCCAGTTTGAACAACTCAGGGGCTGTCCGTGTTGTGTGAGACCTGCCCTGGGCTGTTTGGGGCAGGAGACAGTGGGCCCTGCGTGGGCTGCTTTGCCTTTGAAAAGCACGCTCCTAGGCAGCGGGTCCCTATCTCTGGGAGGGACAGTCCCTGCAGGATCAGCAAGGCCCCAAAGCCCAGAGCTTCGGAAATACGACTAGAAATAAGGGAGAGGGGACCCGGGTCTGAGGCTCTGCTCTTTCTCCCTTGGGCTCCCCAGGGGACAGCCTGCTGGGCCAGGAGTGCCCCACACCCGCCCGGAAACAGAGCCCTGGGCTAGCACTCGGCACTGTGACCTCCAGCACCGATCCTGGTCTGGGGGGTCCGTTCCTAAAGCTCAGCTTTCCCCAGCTTCCGTGTGGAGTTGGCACGCCGTCACGTGTGTTTCAGGTTTAATCCTGTGCCCAACACGAAGACTTGACACACGGTGGTCTTTACTTGTAGTTCTCGTGGCTGTCGGAAGAGTCTTCTTCTCTAAAACACCCCTTCGTGACAAGAACCAAGCTCAGCCCCCATCATGGCCACACGGAGCAGGTGGGGGGATGGCTGAGTGGAGACCCCCGGGGACCCCAGACCCTCGAGAACCAGCCCCTGTTCACTGGCCCGTCCCAGGTGCCGATGGAGGGGTGGGTGGGAGCAGATTTCAGAGAGGGAGAAGTGGGGGCCTCTGGAAGAACTGCATTTTCTTTCTTTTTTTTTTTTTTTAAAGATTTTATTTATTTATTTGACAGAGAGACCCAGCGAGAGAGGGAACACAAGCAGGGGGAGTGGGGGAGGGAGAAGCAGGCTTCCCACAGAGCAGGGAGCCCCATGCGGGGCTCGATCCCAGGACCCTGGGATCATGACCTGAGCCGAAGGCAGACATTTAACCATCTGAGCCACCCAGGCACCCCAGAACTGTGCATTTTCATGAAGAAAAGATACCAGTACAGCGGATCTCGTGTTTGGGGTCAAATATTTTTGCTCTTTTCCCCCTTCTGAGATAATTAACTTGCTGAGCGGTGAGCTGGCCTCACGTGACCAGGACATGCCCCTGAGGGTCGGGAATTGTCACACTTGCGTCCAAGTCGGGGTGGGGTGGGGATGGCGGGCGGCTCCCTGGGCCCCTGGCCGACAGGCTGTCCCGTGCTTTTAAACACGCCCATGTGGGTTCAGCAGCCCTCCTCTCGGGCCCCCGGAGAGGGGGTCAGGGTCCCACACCCTTCCTGGGAACCACTGGCTGCCTGATTGATCGGGGACCAGTGATGTGCTGTTCCCGGGAACACTGTCCTGGCCAGAACAGCTCCCAGGGCTCCTGGGGTCCTGGCGGTGGGGGCTCGGGGTGAGCGGGCACTGGCTCTGGGCCTGGGGCCTGGCCTCCTTGGCCCCTGAGCTGCCTCCCCTCGTGGCCTGTGTCAGGACACTGGCTGAGGTCGGAGCAGGTGTGGGCAGTGGTGGGGAGGGGAGGAGTGGTGGCTGTCCTTGCCTAGTGGAGCCTGGAACCTCGGCTCCCTGCTTGGCCAGTGGCTCCTAGAAGGACGGCCTGCCCATGCCGACGCCCTGTGGAGTTAAAGGCCAATGTCAGGCTCTGCCCAGCACCCAGTGGTCAGTGCCCCAGGGCAGGGGACAGTGTCAGATTTAGCTAGGCCAGAAGGATGGGGGATTCAGCCTGCACCCAGAGGAGGAGTGCAGGGAGGGTGGGCGGGCTCAGGCCACAGAGGAGGGGGATCAGTGGCCACCCCTCACTAGAGACGTGCCTAAGCTTGTCCCAGTGTGGACGGTGCACAGAGTGGGACAGAGCTGACCCTAGGGGGTTCCCACGGTGGGGCCAGGGGGCCCTGCAGACTGCTTTCTGTTTTTGGGTGCTTTCCTTTGTATTTATGATTACTTTGTTCTTTCCTTTGTTGCTCTTTCCAATCTCTTTTGGTTGAGAAGTTAATTTACTCTTTCATTTTTTTTACTGATACGAATATTAAAAACTATAGAATTTCTTGTTTGCCTTGTTTTAAATATGTTTTGTAGATCCTCACACCAAGTGCTTTCGTTATCATCGTTTTTCGGAAATTCTGAAATTTTGGTTTTTATTTCCCATATCATTCAAGAGCTGTTTAATAGAGTTTTAAAATGTTCACAAGAAGGACCTTGTCCAGTTTTCACTTTGCTCTTAATTTCCTCGTGATCATGGTTCAAGCCATTTAGCCATGATTTTATGGGATCGGCGGGCACATCACATGTTCTGGGATGTGAACGTCTTTTTGGGGGACCACCGTTCCACCCCCCACACACTTCCCTGGTAGCAATGACTCCAGAAGGCGTTGGTGGGGAAATGCAGATTCACTGGGGAGCTCACCGGCGGGTTCATGGACGTGACCCATGCCCATTCACACAGGGTCCACAGGTCACTCTCCAGGTCACCACCTGCCCTGCCTGCGGTCATGGCCACAGGGTGTGGTCCATCTAGAGGTCAGCTCTTGGGACAAGCTCCCAGGGCCTGCCATGGTACCCTCCACAGCCTCTCTCTGGAACCCACTGGGAAATGTTCTACCATGTGTCCCTGCATCACAAACCTTCCCAAACTTTAGACTCATCTGTGAGTTGGCTGGACTAGCTGGGTGGCTCCCACTTGGGGTCTCTCTGTGATTGCAGACAGATGGGCTGCTGGGATTGGAGCCATCTGAAGGCTCGACAGGGCCGGGTGTCCAGGATGGTTTGCTCACGCTAATGCGGACTGTCTGGGAGCCCATTGGGGCTGTTGGCAGGAGCTCCTACCTGCAGTATCTGTGGCGTGGGCCACTCCCAGCAGGGTGAGGGCTCCAAGGATGGGGATGCTTTGGGAAACCCAGGGGAAGCTACGAGGCTTCTCATGACCTCATCAAGGATGTCCCCAATGTCACTTCTGCTGGGTGTTATTGGCCAGAAGTCCAGCCCAGAATTAAGTGAGGGGGAATTAGTTCCCAGCACAAATTATCTCCCTGAGTGTGGTAGCCATGCGGCCGTGGCAGGGGGACGGCTGTGGCAGGGGGAGGGCCGTGGCAGGGGGCTGCACGCTGCAACATTTAGATTTGTGTCAAGTGTCAAGATGTCTGCAACTTACCCTCAAAGTGTTGGGAGAGAGATTGAGCAAAACGTTAACAGTAAGTCAATTTAGAACAGGTATTCAGGCGTTCTTTGTACTGTTCTTTTAATTCTCCTGTGGGTTTGAAAACTGTCCACATAAATCGTTGGGAGAAATTGTCCTGCGGCTCCTTTATTTATACCACGTGGCTATTGGCTGGCAGTAAAGCGAGGACAAAGCCATTTAATAAGCAAATTTTGTCTTATTGCTTCTCAAAGGTTAAGGCGGAAGCAATGAGCCTCTGGAGTCCAGAACACCGCGTCCGGGCCCTGAGAGGCCGGGGCTCCCGGGGACTCGCTTCCGGGGGCGGAGCTGCTCTCCAAACCCCGCGCTCCTCACTGTAGGGCCAGCCAGGTCAGAGCCACCAGAAGCTTTCGGGAGCGTCGCCACCCCGTTGCTTTGGGGATGGTTACTGACACAGAAAGTGTCTCAGGAACGGCCAGCGACGTCCTGCACTTACTTAGAAGATTAACATGTACATCCCACGGGCCGTGCCTTCCTTCCCACCGGCTGTCCATCGCGCTTCTGCCTCGCACGCCTCCTTCCTGCCCAGACTTCCAGATTGCAGACTATTGGGGGCGCAATCACCAGGACACCAGCCACGCTGGATCCCACCCTTGTGGATCCCATATCCGGTCCCCCCACTCTGCCTTCCCGACAGTTGGACTCCGCGGCTGTCAGCGGCGGCCCAGGCCAACCGTGGGCTGTGCAGGCTGACCGTGGGCTGTGCGGGTTGACCGTGGACGGCGCGGGCTGACCGTGGGCTGTGCGGGTTGACCGTGGACGGCGCGGGCTGACCGTGGGCTGTGCGGGCTGACCGTGGATGGCGCGGGCTGACCGTGGACGGCGCGGGCTGACCGTGGGCTGTGCGGGCTGACCGTGGAC